GGGGCTCGTCCGACGGGTTAGTTGGTTAAAAGTTTGTGTCGTGCAGCTAATTAGTTGATGTGGTCCAGCTGTGTGCTGGCTTGGCACTGCTATATGGGGGACACATCATGTCTTTTGTGTTTCAGGAAGCTTTAGTGTTTGACATGGCATCAGGTTTTGTGTGCCAATCAGAAGGTAAGATGTTGCTGTTTGTTACGCTTTTGTAAAGAGATTTCCCCGCTAGGCTTAAGTGGCGTTTCCCCTTGGGTTGCGTCTGTTTGTTTTTTTCATAGTGTTGTGGCGACGTGGTTAGTGTCAGCTGTTTTCGGACAGCTGTCTCGGGGGCACGTCCGCGTGATTTTGTGGTGTTGCCTGCGTGCAGGTCGCTCCATAACTCTGCCGGGTTCCAGTGCGTAATTACCCGCCGCAAGCCACATGAAGACTAGGTGAGATTAGTAAGATTTTGGTTAGGCAGTGAGGGGGAAATTCTCTGTTGGGTTTGTCTTTTGCCCATAGGTGTTGGCAGGTTAATACTTTGCTTTCTGATTAGGGATAGGTAATATATTATGGCTTCTTTGTCGGCGTTTGTGGATGCGCCCTCAGTGTCTTTCTTAGAAGATTGCCAGAAGGCGCAGTTGGTCGAAATAGCAGAGCATTATAAAATTGCTGTTGTAGGGAGCAAGCGGAAACATGAGATTAAGGCTGTCATCGTGTCATCTTTGTTTGAGCAGGGGGTGTTGCAGAAGAGTGAGTCTGGTGCGGCAGGGGTCGTGCCGGTAGTGGTTCAGACAGCTGGTTTGACGTTCGAGCAGCAAAAGGAGCTTTTGGCCATGCAGTTTGATCAGGAGAGGTTGCGGATGGAGCAGGAGAGGTTGCGGATGGAGCAGGAGAGGTTGGAGTTGGAGTTGAGGTTGGAGCAGGAGAGGTTGGAGTTGAGGGGTCAGCAGCAGGAGGTAGAGAAGCGTTTAGAGATGGAGAAGGTGCTGGAGGTGGAAAAGATGAAATGTGAGGTGGAACATGCTAGATTACGGCTGATTGGAGAGGGCAAGCTTTCTCCGGTGGAGAATGGTTCTGATAGGTCGGCATCAGGTAGTGGCGATATTATTTCTTACTTGCGGTTAGTGCCAAAGTTTAATGAGCGTGACCCTGACATTTTTTTTACTCTATTTGAACGCATAGCAGAGGCAAGAAACTAGTCAGGTTCGGACAGAGTGCTGTTACTTCAGTGTGTACTCACTGGGCGAGCACAGGAGGCCTATTCAGCTGTTTGTGGCGAAAATGCTTTGGACTATGCTAGAGTAAAATCAGCAGTGTTAAAATCATACGAACTGGTTCCTGAAGCGTATCGTCAAAAGTTCAGAAGTTGGGTCAAGGGGGATAAGCAGACACATGTGGAGTTTACCCGTGAGTTGACTTCTCATTTTCAGCGGTGGTGCGCGGCAGCAAAGGTTGTCAGTTTTGACGGTCTTTGTGAACTGATTATATTGGAACAGTTTAAAGATGTTATCCCTCAGCGTGTGGCCACTTATGTAAATGAGCAGAAACCTTCCACCGCGCTTAGAGCTGCCGAATTAGCGGATGACTTTGTGTTGACGCATAAGGGTAGCTTTATAGAGAAGTGTTCTAGGGGTGATGGGAGACGTGGAGAGGATGGTGGCTATGCCCGTGGTGGAGCAAAGGTTTCACCAGGCCTCTCCCGTAGATTGGCAGGTACGGGGCGACCCGAGGGGGCCAAAGTGGGCCAATGTCATTATTGCAGAGAAGAGGGTCATTGGAAGGAGCAGTGTCCGTTGCTGGAACCTGAGGGGAAGCCTCGTTTTTCATCACATGCTCCAGCCATGTGTTCTGCCGTTTTGGATAAGAAACCGTTGGGTGTAGGTTCGGGCATGGTGCCTGACACAAATCTAAGTACCAAGGGACTCCAAAATGTCCAGTTTCCCAGGCCTGTTGCCCTTGCAGCTTCTGCCCACAAGGTTGCTAGGGATGATGCTATAGCTGCGGTTAAACTCCATACTACCCCGCAACCAGTTGTTGCTGCGGTTTCTAACTTCAGGCCAGCCCTGCAAGAGGTGAAGCCTCGCCCCTCCCAGTTGGCAGATGAAATTGATCCAGGGTATGCCCCTTTCATACGTGAGGGTTATGTGTCTTTGCAAGGAAGTGACAAGAAATTCCTTGTTAAGATACTGAGAGACACAGGTGCTTTGAATTCTTACATAAGTGAGGGTGTTCTTCCATTTTCCTCGGAAACTGACACTGGAAGTTGTGTATTGTCTAGGGCAGGGGTATTCAACTAAAATTCAACGAGGTCCAGTTAGAGAAAATCTCCCCATGCAAAGGTCCGGAACATCAAAATATCTAACTTGCTTTATGAATTAGTGTGATATATATGTAACTATAAATTAGTTATTTCAGTTGTTTTAATTTGTGCGTTAACACCCTCACCCATACATCTTCATGCAATCCTCACCATGCAGTTACATTACTGATACCACTGACGTTCACACCTCATGTTCTTCTTGTGTTACACTTGATTCATTTGGCTAACTTGATTCACTTGCTTTAAATAAACATATTGTTAACCGTTGACATGGTGCGTCTCCTCTTTGTTGTGGCCTTTTGAGCCAGGTCATAACATAACCTTTAAAGCACGGTTAGCTGTTCCCAGTCTTTATGCAAAGCTAGGCTAACCAGCTGTTAGCTTTAGCTTGACATTGACACGAAAGTGGTATCAGTCTTTTCACATCTTACTCTCTACAATAAATCATATTATCGCATTATCATGTGCCAATCATATCTAAATCTCATCAAGACTATTATTGGGTTTGAACTCAATTCACAAATAATATGTGAATAAAAAGACAGATGCAAATGTGCTTGGAGGTTGCTGGTGGAGTGTGACACGAGGCATGCTAGCCACTTCGACATGTCAGGATGGATTAGGCATGATCATGGTGGTCAGATGTGCAGCACGCCTCTTATCTGAGAGACCTAATGACTGACTGCTGTGCCCTGCATTAGCATCTACTGCCATCCTGTTGAATACGCTTTGAGAAAAAGCACAGTGTTATATAAGCCTTTGACGTCTTTCACAAGCTTCTGGTCGGCGCCTTCATTTCTCAATAGTAGCAATTGTGTTATATGTCTTCAACAACTGAAAATGGACTTTTATCAAAACCATGAAAAGTTGGGACAATACCACACGGGGAAATGGACTGTGACTAGTGGGAATGGTCAACAAAGGCTTTTGTGTTCTCAGCCTTGAAGAAAACATTTTTAATGATGTGTTTCATTCACAAGGGGGTAGCGTTTTGAGGGTCAGATTATTTAATGTGACCACAATGCACTATTAAAGAGAATATAATATGATTGGTTTGGCTGTGGAACCCACAATCCCTCTCCGAACAATCAGCAGGGAAATGACAGTAACCACAATGGGATAAAGTAGATGTTGGGGTCTGCTGGAAAATACTGCCCTTAAGAAACCATAAATACACAAATACACTCGAGCAGGATCTGCTTCGCCTTTCAATCCTCAGGAAAGCCACAGGGAGGACAAAGGAAAGAGGAAAGCATTTTAAAAATCAACTTACATTACACATTGAACTGCTTGAACACTGCTCCGACAAAAAAAAAATGTAAAAGGCGAAACAGCCTCCTATCTTTTTTTTTTATTAAGCATGAAGGTCGTTCTGGAAGAGTGCACATCATCAATCACATTCAGAACAAATCACCAATCACTTTCAATCAAGACAACAAGGCAGTCTTCACTCGCACACTCTCACACTTTGATTTATGTTTCTGTGGCTGGCTTCACTGTTGACTCTCACAGTTCCTGCTACACTTTATATTTTGTGTCGATTTATTTCTACCTCCATCAATCCAGAATTGTTCCAGGTCCTCCTCCTACATCTTATCGGCACCCTTTTCATTGGGTGTTATATTTCATGCACTTTAACCCCACGGGGGATTAATGGCACTCCCCATTAAAACTCCTGTCCCAACTGGAATTCATTGCGTTACCCCCTCAATAACTGAGCCTATTCTGACAAATGAAACCATTTTGCGCTGTTAAATGGCATCGACATTCTTTGAACTCTGAGAAATGATTTGCAGGGAGTGGAAAATCAAACAATTGGATAGCCAATCAAGGCTAATGAAGTGGGACCCTGCCATCACGGGAGGCCGTCAAAATCTCTCCTATCCTACATGATTAGCTTTCTATAGTGTTGCTCAGCAATACATTCTGGTCAATATACTCAAACCATGATGGGCAGGCCAGTGGATTTTTATCTGTTATCAATACAAAAATCAAACAGCAATACTGTAACCCCCCTTTCTTAAATCTAGTATTGCATGACAAAATCACTATGTGGTTAAAGGAGGAAAAACGATGGACACAATTGAGTGATTGAGTGATTAAAGTCAAAGTCAAAGTCAGCTTTATTGTCAAAAATTCTACATGTGTTATACATCCAGAAATATCAAAATATCGTTTCCCGCAGTCCTACAGTGTGACATGTATACATAAAACAAAACAAAAAGGGCCTATAAACAGGGTATACATTATACAAAGATGCCCTCGCAGCAAAAAGTGCTCTGCGGCAAAAATAAATCCTGCAATAGGATTAAGAATTGTGATATTTCCTTTTTGCTTTCTTATCTTGAACCATGCTGTGTGGCTGCAGTCAGTCCACTGTTTTGATGCAGACGGTAATATCCAAACAATAATGTCATATTGTCTGTCATGACACTTGTTACAGACGTTCATGGGCCCTTGCTGATGAATACTTCTGACTTTTGTGGTCCTTTTACTTCTATTATATATTTTGTTCAGTTTAATTCACTAAACTAAGCTTTATTATCCACGGAGGGCAATTCTGGTGCAGCAGGCACATGAGTGAAACATATTGCACAATGTTAACATGCTAAACTTCAATGTTGAACATTGTGACCCTGCATAATAACCATGTTATCATTGTCATTGTTACCACTTTACATAAGCATATTGTTTCTCTACTCACCAGGAGCCTTCTGCGTTGACTTGTTGTTCTCCTCACACTTCTGTTTGGCTCTGAACAAAAGGCCTATCTGCTCGTCTCTCGTAAGCACATCATCTGCGTAAGCCTGGAAAATTAGAAAATGACATTGAGTTAATAAAGGGAACATTTGAGTTTAAATGGCAGTGAGGTGCAAGACTCATGTAAACCCTGAGGTCTACCATGGAACAACATCATTAAGCAATATTGCAATTTTTGACACATCCAAAGAGGCTTTGACATTAAGACTCAACAACTGGGGATGCCTGATGGATCTGAAACAATGGATCTTTTCTCTTATAGAATATAAGCAAGTAGGACAATGTGATTGAATCAACAGGGAAACTTTGTTACCAAATTGAAAGTGCTCATTATGATCAGTTGGCCATCGGCTCAAATTGTGCTACCTCATTTGGCAATAGATATTCACTTAAAGGTGGGGTAGGTAATTTTGGAGAAACCAGCTCGAGTGCGCTAGAATTTGAAAATACACAGCCGGAAGAAATCTGCTACTTCCTTACAGAGCCCCTCCTCCAACACACACGAACGCGCACATGACCAATGAGGGCACGAGATTAGTTTGTGCACAGATGAAAGGCTGACAGGCAGGTAGACCATCCAGTTATTTTAGCCGGGCCGGCTAAAATGATTGGTCGTGCTTTTTACAGTACTACGGCTTCCACAGATGACATTTTTTTATGGATTTGTTGTCAAAGCACTTAAGATATTCATTGCTATCGGGATGTTAAGAGCATTCCATGGAATATAACAAAAAGTGTATCTCGAGCCGGTTTCTCAAACTTACCTACCCCACCTTTAACAGACAACATATTTGAGATTGTTACTTTTTATTCGACTTCTCTTAACCTTACTGACTGTAACTCAATGCTAGATTGACAACTTTTGATATCTCCAGACATGATTTTCTCTTCACAGCTGCTTCAAAACCCTCCAGCCACGGATTTCCTCATCTTTGGTCACAGTGCTGCAGGCAACACGCTCTGAATCTGGTTTCATTCTGTGAAATATTCTTGAAAATGTACACTGCTGACATTTTCTTTTTTTGGAATATGAGGGAAAGCAACAGGGTAGCCTGGATGAAAGACAGCCTGGTCTATCTAGAAGGTCAGATTAAATTGTATTTAACGTAACAATCCACCCATCAGTGTTAAAGCACTACATTTATTCCTGACATGAAGCAAAAAAGGACGTTTTTTTCCCCCCCTTATATAAACAGTTTCCATTTCACTTGTTGTTTATACTTCCCAGTTTGTATTCCTGTGGTTGTAACAACTGTGTGGTCATTAATCGAACTCGACAAATGTATAACACGAACAAACACACTATTATTTTCCTAAAATGTTCTCACACCCTATACGTCTCAGCTTTTGAACATTGTGTTAGAGTGTCGTGGAACCTCAGGTGTGGTTTTTCCAGTCATGAAAATATTTTCCATACTAATATGTCACATCGCCTGGCTCTCTGTTTGTCTGAGGATCACTCTTGGGCATGACGAATGTGATTGTATTGAAAACGAACACATTCATTATTTTAGTGTGACAAGAAAAGAGGAAATAAAAACATAGAAATTCAAGCCTAGTTCTGAAACTAAAGCATGGATCAGCGCACAAATCAAAAATCAAAAACTCCTAGTCTTATTTTTTTGGTTCAGTGATGCAGAGCAAACAGTAAATGAAAGACAGACGTTTGCTCACAGCAAACCTGGCTGCTGCTATGTAGAAATCTAATTCTGCTCACAGGTTTTACAACGAGACAGGAATATATGTTGACAAGAAGCAATTTAGTCCCAACATCCGAAGAAAAAAAAAAGAGACAGACAGAGTGAAGTGGTTACGTCCATACACAGATACAAATAACTTTACTTAATATGTTCTTAGAATATAATTATCATATTCAGGCTTTCTGTAACTATAATTTGGTGCGGATGATTTGTCCATTTCTCCTTTGTTAATTTGAATCTGTCCAACATGATTATTTCGTTAGATATGCGCATATGAGATGTTTCTATCTGTGTTTGGTCAATTTAACAGCACATCATTGTCAGTACAGACATTAACTGTGTGCTCCTTCTCTCAATACAAAATGTGCTTTTATCTAAATTCTCTAAAATATAAAAAATGAAGTACTCAATTGCTATAGAAATACCCTTGTTGGAGCTATTTCATAACATATTATGTTTTTTAGGATTATTATTACAGTGTAGCGTTTGATTTGAAGCTGGTCAAGTTGGAAAAGTACATTTGCATTTAAAGTACAGAACTTGATTTAATACTGGTAATATTTAGTTAAGTTAACGCATAATTGTTGTTGCACTGCTGAAATGCTCATACAGTTATTGTAGTGATGTACTTTACACCAAGCAGGATGTATAGTTATATAGTACAAATGACCTGAACACCATCTCTTTTGCAGCAAAGCAAAGTTTTTTCAGACTTGTTAAGACCTCTAGAGCCTGTTCAAAGTCTAGAGTAAGCTAGAGAAAAAGTAATTTGGGAACAAAGACGTGTATACATTGTCTCTGATGCAAGCGCGTCATTTCGTAAGCTTAAAATGATACTGTAAATACCAAGCTGTCGTGGATTTGCTGCACACAAAACCATAATACCTCAATCCATCAATATTTTCACTACTCTCAGTCCTGAAATAAGGATGTCCAGTCTGAAGGCTGAATAAGGTTACAGAATGAAGACGTTTATGGCTTTGCACAGTAAACAACCACAGATGGAACAACATTTGACCGCAGGCGAAAAAGGATAGATACTACCTGTTTACTGTACTAACTAAGCCAATATAGAATATTCCACTGAACGCTGCTGAGGCGGTCACACTATTTTCATCTGAATAACCGGCTGGTGTTACTTAAGGTGAAAAGCTGAACCAACAGGAAACCAGAAACAGTAAATCTGGATGGTAACTGCTCTGAAAGGACAAGTGTCATTATCGTCAAAGCATATAAAGAACAGTATGAGTAGTTTGGCAGTTTTGTAATTGTGCATTTTCACAGCTTGAATTTAAAATACCAAGCTCTTATTATATAGTATGTTATAGATCAGTAATTTATATTATATGTTGAATTTTTTCACTTCAGTCAAACACTTCAAAGTGAAGTGATATGTTTATTAAACTTCACATACAATTTCCTTTTTGTACACCAGTCTTTTGCCTTCACAAACCTGTCTAGTAAAGCTGCCGTTCCAACACATTACCAACACATTTCTTAACCTTTCCAGGTCAGTTTGAAGTTGAACCCCTGTAAAACATTAAACTAAAATGAGGCGGGGAGTTTTGCGGTTTATTTTTTCTAACCCTTAAAAAAGAGGGACATTTATGTCTTTATCTGCAGACGCCATCTCACACAGACATAGTAGAGTATCATTTACCATTTTAAGAAGAGAATCCTGTAATAAGTGTGCCCCCTGATTATTTCTGAAAACTAGTCCTCCTCTCCTGGCGAGACTCCAAACCTCCAAAGTAAACATTTACAGGGAGAAACATTGACATTCTTATTTACTGCATTTCACTCAAAACACAGTCATCTTTTTGTCAAATACTTTTTGCATGTGTGCCAAAATGAAAATGTGAAAAATACACGCCATGTGTGTGTTTTCATCACCGGTCGCTAGAATACAAACGCCACTTGAATAAACCACACGTTTCTATTTGTCTTCGCAAACTGCGGCTTGATGACTTAGACTGCAACGCGCTGCAAGGATATAAGACCAATATTGAGAGAACTGTTTTTAGGCTTGTGTGCAAGACAGTGTTGAACCACTATGGCTAAATACTGACACTACAGTATATAGCATGTGATTGAAGGAACATTTACAGTTCTAATTCCAGCATTTGGTTTCTATATTATTTTAGTAACTTACAGTTTTATTTACTTAAAAAGGTTCAGCTTGACTGGTCCCATATATATATTCAGTGTTCATTTGTAGATTTGTGATTATTTATAAGTAAAAAATACATTTATTTTAATGTAAAGATTGAGTCACGTGGATAGACGGCGTGCATACATGGAGTGGAGACACTGGGTTTCCGGTACATTACCAACAGTCTTGATTGTGGACAGCCTTGCGCTTTTTCTTTTTTCAAGAAAGTTGTGGTTGACCAAAGTCATTTCCTGAAATGCCTACAGTGAATAAGAGAGCGAAATGCTGGAACTCGTAAGGTTCGTAAAAATTGAGAGTTTAAATGATCGGTAAAAGCTCCACTGAGTTTAAAGGCGTGTAATTATTTATCAGCCATGGATTGCGAGTCAAACACACCCTAAAGATCATATTAGTAGTATCGCAGACCTACTCTTAATACAAAAAAACTACACTACTGAACAAAACTCTAAGTCTAAAAACAAAAACTCATATCAAACCAGATTTTTTTTAAATCATGACAGCAAAGTCTTGTGTGATCAAAAGTCTGAAGCTTGAAATGGTTGAGACCTTCGGACTGACCGCCGTCCATTTAGAAGATTCAAAAGAAAATGTCTCATTATCGTGGTGGTGTGGATCGTTAAAACCACTCACAGCATATTTCCACGTCTGAACACAGAAACAATGCAGCATCTTGATAATGAAATGCCTGCTTGCTGGCAAATATACTTGCAATAGCTGAATAATTTAAACGATAAAGATACATTAATGAATCTAAGGCCTCTTTTAACTACAACATGAATATTAAAAAATATAATTGTAATGCAACTGACTGATTACTAAAAATGGTGGATTACATTTTTTTTGTATTTTTGATGATCATGACTGTTATTGAAGGCTCCATGAAGCATACATAGTAGTTAGCTATAATGTATGAGAAAAACATGCACGTCATATGTCACAATCAAGGGAATATCCTTGAGACTCTCAATTAAAAACATCAAGATTAGTAAATTATGACAAACATAAAACCATAAACTGAATGATTGCTTTACTCCCAAGCCACTGTGGCCTAATGGTGCCACAGTGAGAACAGTTGTAGGACAAGGAAAATATTACATTTGTCTCTTTGTATTGGAACCATGGGAATAGGAGATAAGTTAATTTGTAAACTGAAAGGGCAGATTGATGGTGGCAC